ATGTGCAAAAGCTGTGTGATGAAAACTGTATGATTTTACTTAAGGAAATAAAGATGACCAAAATAGAGACCATGTTTCTGACAGGAAGAATATAATATGTGAATATAAATATGTGAATTCTTTCCCCAGTTATTTTGTAAATTACATACTGTTCCAGTTAAAGCCAAACATGGTACTTTTTTATAGAGAAGGACATATTTGTCCTAAAATCCAGATTAAAGATTAAAAGCCTGAGAACAGACAAGCAAGTTCTGAAGAGGAAAGGGGTATGTACAAACATATGTATGGAGGTAGGTATGTGTGTATGTGCTGGGGGTAGGGAAGATACTTATCACACCAGACTTCTGATTCTAGCCTGTTCCTATAGGGTAACTTAGTATATGACAAATCCCATTTTAGATCAATCAAGAAAGAATGACCTAATGTTTGTTGGAAATTTTAAAAAACAACAAACCAGAACTCTAACCTATACCATTATCAAAACTAAAATTAGGTCAACTAAAAACTATGTGAAAAAAATTTTTAAGAAAATACAGACTTATCTTTAGGATACTGGAATAGAAAAGGATTTTTCAAAGACTAAAAACACACAAAACATAAGGGAAAGATTGATAAACATGATATTTAAAAACTTTCCTATTGGGGTGCCTGGGTGGCACAGTCAGGTGTATGACTCTTGGTTTCAGCTTAGATCATGATCTCAGGGTCGTGGGTTGAGCCCCATGTTGGGCTCCCTTACTGCGGCATCTGCTCGGTTTTCTCTCCCTCTCCTTCTGCCCCCCCACCACCCCCCACACGTATGCTCTCAATCTGAAAAAATTTTCATATTAGAAAATACACTATAAAAAAGATTAAGAGAGAGAAGATATTTAGTTTGTGGAATTAGTTTTAGAAGAAGATACTAGTTTGTGGAATATTTAGAGATTCCCTATAAATCAGTAAGACAAACCAAAGAAAGAGAAAAACCAGAAGGTTTTTAAAAGCAGATCGCCAAGGGGTGCCTGGGTGGCTCGGTGGGTTAAAGCCTCTGCCTTCGGCTCAGGTCATGATCTCGGGGTCCTGGGATTGAGCCCTGCATCGGGCTCTCTGCTCAGTGGGGAGCCTCCTTCCTCCTCTCTCTCTCTGCCTGCATGTGATCTCTGTCAAATAAATAAATAAAATCTTTAAAAATAAAATAAAAGCAGATTGCCAAAAATTTATATTTTTATGTTAAGGTCATTAGTAATCAGGGAAGGTAAATTAAAATAGTGAAATGCTAGATAAAATACCTAGGAATAAACCTAACCAAGGAGGTTAAAGACCAGTATTCTAAAAGCTAGAAAACAATGATAAAAGAAATTGAAGGGGCCTCTGGGTGGCTCAGTGGGTTAAGCCTCTGCCTTCGGCTCAGGTCATGATCCCAGGGTCCTGGGATCGAGCCCCACATCGGGCTCTCTGCTCAGCGGGGAGCCTATTTCCCCCTCTCTCTCTGCCTGCCTCTTTGCCTACTTGTGATCTCTGTCAAATAAATAAATAAAATCTTAAAAAAAAATTGAAGACAACACAAATAGAAAGATTCCATAGGGACCCATGTTGGTCCACGCCCAGTGTGGAGTCCGCTTAAGACTCTCCAGGCCCTCCCCCCACCTGCATGCTCTCTTGCTAAATAAAATCTTAAAAAAATATATTCCATGCTTATGGATTAGAAAAATTAATACTGTTAAAATGTCCAAATAAATGTCCATACTATATCGATGCACCTGGCTGGCTCTGTAGGTGGAATGTGTGACTCTTGATCTCAGGTTGTTGGTTCAAACCCCATGTTGGGTGTAGAGATTACTAAAAAGAAAATCCTGCCCCTAAGCATCCTGAGGTGACCTCTGAAAATGGTTCCCTATTCGCTTGACCCAGAAAACCCTACGAAATCATGCAAATCGAGAGGTTCAAGTCTTCTGTGTTCACTTTAACAACACATGTGAAACTGCCCAGGGTTGCATCAAGGGTATGCATTTCCAAAAAGCCACCAAGTATCTGAAGGCTGTCATGTTGCAGAAGCAGCGTGTGCCAATCTGTCACTATAGTGGTGGAGCTGGTAGGTGTCCCCAGGCCAAACAGTGGGGCTGGATACAGGGTTGATGGCCCAAGAAGAGTGCTGAGTTTTTACTACACTGCTTAAAAATGCAGAGTCATGCTAAACTTAAGTTTTTAGATGTCCATTCTCTGGTCATGGAGCATATCCAGGTGAACAAAGCCCCCAAGATGTAGTGGAGAACTTATAGGGCTCATGGTTGGCTTAACCCACACATGATTTCTCCCTGCCACACCAAGATGATCCTTCTGAAAAAGAGGTGACTGTTCCTAAAGCAGAAGAGGAGGTTGTGCAGAAGAAAAAGATATCCCTGAAGAAACTGAAGAAACAACAACTTATGGCCTGGGAGTAAATTCTGCACAGAATAAATGCAAATAAAAACAAAAAGAGAATGTTGGTTGTCTTCTATTATTAAACATATTTCAAGTATCCTCAAAAATAAAATAAAATAGAATCTTTTTTTTTTTTAAATGCCATACTATCCAAAGGAATCTACAGATCCAATCCTGTCCCTATCAAAATACCAACAACATTTTTCACAGAACTAGAATAAAGCTAAAATTTGTATGGGACCAGAGAAAAACTTGAACAGCCAAAGCAGTCTTCTTCTTTTTTTTTTTTTTTTTTTTAGATTTTATTTATTTGTTTGACAGAGAGAAACCACAAGCAGGCAGAGAGGCAGGCAGAGAAAGGGGGAGAGAGAGGGAAGCAGGTTCCCTGCCAAGCAGAGAGCCCGATGCGGCACTCGATCCCAAGACCCTGAGATCATGACCTGAGCCGAAGGTAGCGACTTAACCCACTGAGCCACCCAGGCGCCCAGCCAAAGCAGTCTTAAGCAAGAACAACAAAGCCGGACATAGAATCCTAGATTTCAAGACCTAAAACACAAAGCTGCAGTAATGTAACAGTACGGTACTAGCATAAAAATAGACAAAAAGATGAATGGAACAGAAGAGCTCAGATACATACAAAACCCACACATATATGGTCAATTAATTTATAACAAAGGAAACAAGAATATAAGGAAGAAAAGACAGTCTTCAATAAATGATGCAAAGAAAACTGGACAGCTGCATGCAGAAGAATGAAACCAACCACTTCCTTACACCATATACAAAAACTCAAAATGAATTAAAGACCCAAATATGAGACCTGAAATCATAAAACTCCTCTAAGGAAACACAGGCAGTAATCTGACATCAGCCTTGACAACACTTTACTAGCTTTGTCTCCTGAGGCTAGAGAAACAAATGCAAAATTGAACTAATAGGACCACACTAAAATAAAATGCTTTTGCACAGCAAAGAAAACCATCAACAAGATGACAAAGCAACCGACCCAACGGGAGAAGATACTAGCAAATGACATATCCCAAAAGGGGTTAACACCAAAAATATACAAAGAACCCATATAACTTACCCAAAGCAAAAAATAATTCGATTAAAAATGGGCAGATGACCTAAATACAAGTTTTTCTTCTTTTTTTTTTTTTTTAGAGGGAGAGACAGCATGAGGGAGCATGCATATCAGAGTGGGGTGAAGGGGCAGTGGGAGGGAGGAAGAAAGCAGAAACCACTGGGTATGGAGCCTGACACGGGGGGCTCAATTTCATGACCCCAAGATCATGACTGGAAATCAAGAGCTGGACGCTTATGGGGCGTCTGGGTGGCTCAGTCGGTTAAGCTCAGGTCATGATCCCAGGGTACTGGCATTGAGCCCACATTGGGCTCCCTGCTTCTCCCTCTCCCTCTGCCCTTTCCCCTGCTTGTGTTCTCCCTAGCGCATGCCCTCTCTCATGAATAAATAAAATCTTCAAAAAAAAAAAAAAAAGTTGGACACTTAACCAACTGAGTCACCCACACTCCCTCTGAATAGACATTTTCTCAAAGATGTACAGATGGGGGCACCTGGGTGGCTCAGTCAGTTAAGCCTCTGCCTTCTACTCAGGTCATGATCTCAGGGCCCTGGATTGAGCCCATATCAGGCTCCTTGCTCAGCCAGGAGCCTGCTTCTCCTCCCTCTCTTGCTCCCCTGCTTGTGCTTCTCTCACCCACTTGCTCTCTCTCTCGAAATCTTAAAAAAAAAAAAAAAAGGATGTACAGATGGCCAGTGAACACATAAAATGATCCTCAACATCACTATCAGGGAAATACTAATGAAAACCACAATATCACCTTACACCTGTTGGAATGGCTACTATCCCAAAAGACAAGAAATAGTAAGTGCTGGCGAGGATGTGGAGAAAGTGGAATCCTTGTGCACTGCTGGTGGGAATGCAAACTGGTGCAGCCACTCTGGAAACAGCAGAAGTCCTCAAAAAATTAACAACAGTTTTCACACAATCCAGTAATTCTACCACTGGGTATTTACCCAAAGAAACAAAAACATTACTTTGTGTTTATTGCAGCCTTATTTATAATAGCCAAGATATGGGAGCAACCCAAGAGTCCCTCCACAGATGAATGGATAAAGATGTGGCACATGTAAGAACAGCCCCCCGCCCCCCACACACACAGTGGAGCATTACTCAGGCCTAAAAAAGAATGACTGAGGTCTGGTGATTTGGGAGAACATGGATGATGCTGAGTGAAATAAAAAAACAGTCTGAAATAGACAACAACTGGTGGCCAGACGGCAAGTGGGTAGGAGGATGGCTGAAAGAAAGGCATGAAGCAGTACAAACTTCCAGTTGTAAGTTAGTGGCAGAGATGAGAAGTACAGCACGGGGAATACAGTCCATAATGATGTAATAATGCTGTATGGTGACAGACAGTGACCATACTTATTATGGTGGTGAGCAATGCCTCGTGTACAGAATTGCTGAGTCAATGCGTTAAAAGGATAGTGAGATACCACTTCACACCTATCGTAGGTGCTAAAATGTAAACATCTGTAGATGCAATCTTTTTCAAACAAAGAAAAAAATGGAATGGTCCAGCATTAATTGTTTATTGCAGTAACAGAAGGCAGCGGGCCCGGAGGGAGCACTTGGGGCCCGGCCGCTCAGTCCAAGGTGTCCAGGAGGCAGCAGCAGCAGAGGGTGGCCCAGCATGCGGCCAGGGCTGCCTGACACCCGGTGTCCATCTTCCTTTCCCGTTCCATCACGTACACTGAGGGGCGGGGTGGGGCGGGGGAGAGAGAGACCTGATCAGAGGGGACTCTGCGAGCAGCAGCATCCTATGTAGGTGGCATGCAGCACCGGCCATGGAGACCCTGGAGGGTGGGCTCCATGAGAGGGGGAGCCACGCCTGGCCACTTTAAGGCTCCATCTCCACTCCCATGTCCAGCACACATCAGGAACTCATGAAACGTTTCTTAGATGTGCGAATGCAGAAGACATCTGCTCAGCAGCTGTCAGACCATGGTTTCCTGCCACCTCCCCTTCCCCAAGCTACAGCGAAACCTACCCCAGCACCTCATCTGGTGCTTGTCCAAAGTGATCTGGCTCTAGTGAGCCCTGCCGTGCAGCCTGGTGGCACAGGCGCTGGCTCAAAGTTTTCCACATTCTCTCATTGAATCCTCACAACAGCTGCACGTTGCCCTCATCATTCGTAACTGAAACACTATCACAAGTGTGAACTGGCAGAACCCCTTTGAAAGGGGGGGGTGTGCATACAATTTTTGACCCACAAAATCCACAGCTAGGATTTTTCCTACAGAAGCAATGGTCTCAGCGTTCAGATATGTGTGTCTGCTCTGGTATCAAAGTGACCCCGGACCACCACCTCCGTGTCCAGTGGAGAGATGAGCTAAACCAATGCATACTGGAAGACAGAAAGGAAACAGCCATTAAAAAGAACTAGATGGTTCTTCCATGTTGCCAACAAATTAACCAAGGTACATGCGCACGCTCTGTTTGATCTGTACAAAGAAGAGAATACACACACATGCACAAATAAGTTTCGGAAAGAATACAAGAAACATAAAGATCAAGGTATGGCAAGGGGTGGAGGATTTTACTTTGCATTTTACATTTTCCTCAATCCAGGCTTGTCTGATTCCAAAGCCACACACTTCTGGACTGTCACTGCCGGCTCCTGTCACCCCTGGCAGGAGGGCGGGCCCATCCAGTTTCAGCACACCTCGTACCCCTTCTAGCCTCTGCCACAACTGCTAGCTCCTGGGTCTTTGGGGGCAGCTGTCACTGACCGACCTGGGCTCCCTGGTGGACTGGCCTTAGCCCTGGACTGCTGTCCCTGTGTCACTATTACTTGGACACGGCCACCCCACCCAACCCCCAGCCCAGCTCCACCTGATCTGGGCTCCCAGTTATTCCTGCTCCTCTCATAGCCTGACCTGGCCCCTATGACCCCAAGTCCCACCTATGAGATATGGCTTCAAGGCAATTCTGATTCCTCTCAGGCCTTGCTGACTCTCAGGTCTGGGCAAACCTAGTGAGCTGCAGATTCCAATCACAGCTCCCCACTCTCTCTCAGTGGCTTGGACACTGGAGAATACTCCCAAAGGGGTATAATTCTAAGGCTGAGCCCCACGCCTGGTCCCCCCCGCCTGTACACAGACGGAGGACTCCAGTCTTCCGAGGGCCATCTTCAGGTCTCCTGACCACTCCCGTGGCTCTGCTCTTTGCTTAACCTTGAAGGCGACCATCATGCTCTTTCTCCTCTGGCTTCCTCAGCAGAACCCCTCTATTCACCATGCCCCCGCCTGCCCATCACCTCAGCAGTGTTGTCAGGAATGTCAGTGCCTACTCAGTGGACCCTGAAATAGTGCCCACCGCACCCCTTGGCCCTCTTGACACCGGCAACAAGGTCACTAGGCCCATCCTCTCCATCTTGCAAACATCCCCTCCACACTTCTGCTCTCGCTCTCCTTTCGGGCCCTCCAACACCAGCCTGGATTGCAGCAACATGGGCTGGATGCCACCTCAGCCAAGGCACCTGCCCAACACTCCTGGACTCCGCCCTCACCATCTCTGTCTTCGTCTCCGGACTGAGGTCTGTACAGCCCTGTGCTTACACAAGCAAAAAACCCACTGTGGTCCCATGTTACAGAGGAGGCAACTGCTCAAGAGAAGTCTACAACGGTCTGTCCAAGATCAGCTAGAAGGTAGCACTCACATGTGTTTCCTGACTTCTCACGTAGCACACGCCCACTGCTCTGCACTTAAATGCCCACCACGTCACTCCTTTGCTCAAAACACCCAGGTCTGAGACGCCTGGGGGGGCTCAATCAGTTAAGCGTTTGAATCTTAATTTCTGTTCAGGTCATGATCTCAGGGTTGCGAGATCAAGCTCTGCACTGGGTTCCATGTTGGGCATGGAGCCTGCTTTAGAGTCTCTCTCTCTTCCTCTACCTCTGCCCCTCCCCTGCCTTGAAAACAAAACAAAGCGGACAGGTTCCTCCTCCTGACACACTTTCCCCAAGGCCCCGGGACTGCTCAGTCAGCCTGCATAGATCCCAGGGGTCTGCATCCACCCATGTGCGGCAGCCCTGCTACCCACCCTGGCTGAAGGCCTCCAGTACCTTCAGCGCTTCTGCAAGACCCAGATCAGACCTGTCTGCCCCCACGGGGAAGGCTGCTCATTAGACTCGCCCTGCGTTGACGTCAGCCTCCTACATCACAGTCCCTTTCCGGAGACCTTGGGGTGCTGTGTGGGAGGCGGGCCCATCCTTCCTCTTTGTGAGGCAGAGAACCCCATTCCAGGTACATGCTAGTGTTAGTGACTGATAATCCAAAGAAAAGTGTTCATTCTCTGGGCTGAGTTTCCTCTGGGTTTCAGACACCAGGCATATAGCTGGGTAAGGACAGGTTTGCTATGAGGAGGCGGGCACCCACTGAGGGCTGTGTTTGTAGGGCCAAGGGGCAGCTGCCCGGAACCCAACACCCGCCCCCTTACCCCCACCTCCGCTGAGGACAAGTGTACCTCTGCCCCACTGTGCAGGAGGTCCAGGGGGCACTAGCTGTGTGCTCAGCTCCGCCTCAGCTCCCCAGCCTCCTCCTCACAGCTGGCCCCAGCTGTTCTAGCATCTCTTCCCAGGAAACAGGTTCAGCAGGAAGACAGAGAGTGAGTGTGTGAGAGCCTCTGCGGGTGTGTGTGGGTGGTGGGTAGTAGGGTTATAACCAGATTCTGGAGATGGGAAGTTCAGAGAGAAGCCCAGAAGGAACCCTCCCTACCTGACACTGTTACTCCAATCCAGGTCACAATTCCCAAAGACACCCTGTTCCAGTTTAGTGGGAGGCACCACAATTAGGATTTAAGAACAGAGATTTTTAATAAAACATTATCAAATTGGATTTAAATATAGGCTCATCTACGTACTGGCCATATAACCTTGGGCAGGTGACAGCCTCTCTAGTCTCAGTTTCCACTTCTGTAATACAGGAGGAACACTGGTAGTCTGCACCCCACAGGTTGCTGGGAAAATCTGGAGCTCAGGCACATAAAATGCTTATTAGCACAGCGCCTAGTGAACTATGAGGCTTTCAATCAATGTTCTGTGATGTTATCACTATTATTCAAATGACCATGGCCCGGCAGGCAGACCCCTCCCCAGACTGAGCGGGCCTCTGGCAGATAGCTCCACGTAGGAAGAGAGGAGGGGGCTCTCACTGACTCTGGGCAGAAGCCTTAGAAATAAGAGGCTGGGAGGCAGAATCACAGGCTCACCTGGGAGCAAAGGGTCCTAAGATAAGCTGGCTCTTTGCCATCAGGTCCAAGAGAGGGGCATGGCCCAAATCCACTCCAAGGGCAGGGGGTGAATGAACAGAACCATGCCCCATTTCTAGCAGGCCCCTGCTGGAGGGGGATCTGCCAGCAGCTCAAGGCCCTGCCCTCACCCCAGCCCACACACATACACAGTCCCCATCACTCCTCCTCTGGCCTCAACCAACCACATGGCAGCAGAGCCCAGAGTCAAGGTCACATCTTTGGGATCACATCTTTGGGAAGGAGGGCTCTGAGAAACTCAGGAGGGCCCAGGACAGAGCAGCTTCCGGGGGCAGGGAGCTGGTAGGCTGAGTTTGGGACGGAAGGATGGCATGGCTAGCATGGGGACAAATGGGAAAGCAGTATGGGGTCTATAATCCAAGGGCCAGAGATACCTGTATCCTGACTGTCAGGCCCAGGCCTAGTGACAGCCCATCCCCCCGAATGAAAGGCCCAGGCACCCAGGGCTCTGTGGCCACCCTTTGCAGCAGGAAACCCCACTGTGTGTTTTTAGGCACCTGCCAGCTGTCAGCCCTCCCGGACAGACAGCCCGCCTCTGGGATCTGTGTGTGCACTCCATGAACCACCTCTTTCTTCTCTCCCTGCCCCAGGAATGGCTCGCCTGCCCCAGGAATGGCTCGCCTGCCCCAGGGCAGAAGAGTGTCCCCTCTCCTTCTCATGTCAGCTCCAGGAATAGCTGCCTGATTCATCAGCCGGGCCCCTCCCAGCGTTTAGGCCAAAGACCAAGCTTGAGGTTGGGTTACTGTGTGAATGGCTCTTCCTCCATACCCCACCCCTCTCTCTCCGACGCTGAGAAGCATCTGATCTGCTTTCTGGCAAACCTGGCCCTTCATCCTCCAGCATCTAAAACAAACCCAAAAAAGGCGACCATCAGGGGACTAAATAGCCACCATCCTTGGAAATACTGTTGCCTTTTCTCAACTCAGCTAACCTAGACTCATGTATGCTCCCTCCTTGCTTCTTGATTGGGGCCTCAGGGTGGCTTGCCCCGATGACTCAGCCCTCCCCTTGCCTCTTGGAACCTCAGTGTCCTCACCTGCAAAAAACCAGGATTCATAGTGGTACCTGTAATGAGGCCCCAAAGAGATGAAAATGCATTAGCAATAAGTTTTGCCTTGATCCTCTCCCCTCCTGGGAGTATGTACCAGAACAGCAGGAGAAGCTAACAGTCAGCCCTGAGAAGAGCAGGAGACAAAAGGAGCAGACCATGCATCACCAAGATGCGTGGTCCCCACTACCTGGGGTTCTGAGGGGCGTTCCTGACCCAGCCCAGCAAGGATATCTCTCACTATCATTACAGTCATCCGGAAACAGCCTCAGAAATATCAAGCAGTGCTTAAGAAGACGGCAGAAACAGACCCCAGACGAGTGTTTGGATGAAAAGGGAAGGCTCCCCAAAAGTCCGTGTTGATGAGTGCCCA